TGCAATTTATTGTAGGTCAATTATATCTCAATAAAGCTGTTTATTTTATTTATTTATTTATTTATTTTGCTGAGGAAGATTAGCCCTGAACTAACATCTGTGCCAATCTTCCTCTACTTTATACGTGGGTCACTGCCACAGCATGGCTGATGAGTGATGTGGGTCTGCGCCCAGGATCTGAACCCACGAATTTGGGCCACCAAAGCAGAGCTCACTGAACTTAACCACTAGGCCACAGGGCCAGCCCCTAAAGCTGTTTTTTAAAAAAAAATCATAGATAACATCAGTCTGTATGGTTAATCACGCCAGAAATACATGCAGGAAAGTCTAAGTTGTTGAACCATAAAATTGGCAGATATATTTTTCTGATCTCATACTCAACAGCAATGATTTACCTTGAGGCAAATAATGCTAACTCTCAAATCCTGAGTTCCCACATTTCTCTCAAGTGATGTAGTTATGATTTGTGCAAAATTCCACCTTTATGCTATACTTCAATATAAAGTTTACTTTTTTAAAAACAATAAGTGGAAATACACCATGAAGCAAAAGAATTTCGAGCTCAATGAACAATATTCTTGAGGAATCACAGGAAACTCCCAGAGCCAGCTAATGCTGGCCTTTTCATCTGTCCATCCTGGAATCAGTAGGTCCACAGCATCCTGGGTCCTGGTGCAGGCCTTGCTCTCACACTGGGGTCTGTCACCACCACCACCAGCGCAGAGAGTCTCTTATTCTCTTTGTGGAATAGCGCTGAGCACAGAGACTGTCACCATCCTGGTTTCCCACACCACAGTCTGCAGCCCTGACAGTCGGCAAGTCCTTCCACGCAACTGGCCCCAGACTTTCCTGTTTTCAGATGTGTCTGTCATTTACACGTGCTCTCCGCAGGTGCTGGGGTTTACAGTCTCCTCCTGTGGTGGAGACTAACAATGTGGGAAAGGATCAACCAGACATGGTCTTCATTCCTTCCTCTACTATTTGTTAACTGATTTGGGCAAATCCTGGCCTCTGGAATCTATGTCTGTGACACGGGGCAATAAGACCATCTATATCACATGCTCCTGGGAGGGTATGTTAAGATACCTTGCCTATACAGAAGCTGAAATACAATGATGTACACCTGAAATTTACACAACGTTATAAACCACTGTGACCTCAATAAGATAATAATAATAAAAAGATTCCTTGTGAACCCAGAACTGAGTAAGCACAGAATAAATGCACGGTATTATTATTACCATGTTCATGATTTAATAATAACAACAGCTAATGTTTGTTGATCACTCACTGTGCCTAGCCCTGTGCTAGGTGCTTTATAAGCACAAGTTACAATAGCCCTGTGAGGGAGGGGCAGTTATTACCTCATTTCACAGAGGAGGAAATGGAGAGTCAGGGAGGTTGAGTGACTTGCCCAAGGTCACTCAGTCATCAGGTGTTGGGGCTGGGAAGTGAGCTCAGGTCTGTCTGACTACAGAGCCCACATCGCTCCCACCAAGCTGCACTGCCTTCCACCCCATGTAGTCCCAAAGAGCTCCAGTCACTCCTTTGCAAACCCTGTGACCCCAGAACTTCAGAACAAGCTGTCTGACTTACTGCTTGTAGTACGCTGAATAATGGCCCCCAAAGATATTAGGTCATGCTCCCTGGAACCTATAAATGTTACCTTATTTGGAAAAGCGTTCTTTGCAAATATGATTAAGTTAAGGCTGTTGAGATGGGGAGATTATCCTGGCTTATCTGAGTGAGCTCCAAATGCAACCACATGTATCCTTATAAGAAAGAAGCAGGCCAAGCTGTTGCTGAGAGCCAGGAGCGAGAGGAGCCCGAGCCAGAGTTGGAGTCGAAGCTGCTTTCGCTAAAGGAGCAGCAACTAAAGAAGTTGAAAAGATGCTGATTATCTTGGGACTGCTCACCTCCGTCCTTTCTTTCCTGTACGTGATAGCTCCATCCATCAGGAAGTTCTTTGCTGGTAGGGTTTGGAAAACACATGTGCAGCTTCCAGAGCCGACATGGGCATAGACAAGGAGACAGCCAGGGTGCAGAGGAGTATGCATTGCCTGCTGAGATGTACTGAAGTGGGAGTCTGCTGCCAGTGAAATCCAAGCTGATACAAAGAACTCTCAGGTGATGGTGCTGAAACTGGACCTGTCCGATACCAAATCCATCCAAGTCTTTGCTGAAGGCTTTGTGGCAGAGGAAAAGCAGCTCCGTATTCTGATCAACAATGCAAGAGTGATGATGTGTCCATATTCCAAGACAACCAATGGCTTTGAAACCCACCTGGAAGTCAACCACCTGGGCCACTTCCTTCTCACCCACTTGCTCCTGGAGTGGCTGAAGGAGTCTGCTCCTGCCGGGTGGTGGACCTGTCATCGGTGGCCCACCATGCTGGCAAGATTCGTTTCTACAACCTCTAGAGTGAGAACTGCTACAGCTGGAGTTTTGCTTACTTCCACAGCAAGCTGGCCAATGCGCTTTTTACTCAGGAGCTGGCCAAGAAGCTCCAAGGCACAGGGGTCACCACCTACGCAGTGCACCCAGGCATCATCCACTCTGAGCTGGTCTGACACTTCTTCCTGCGTGCCTGCTATGGTGGCTCTTCTTCCCCTTCGTCAAGTCGGCCTAGGAGGGGGCACAGACCAGCTTGCACTGCACCCTGGCTGAGGGCCTGGAGTCCCTGAGTGGCGAGCACTTCAGTGACTGCGAGAGGACCTGAGTGTCTCCAAAGGCCTGAAATAACAAAATAGCTGAGTGCCTGCAGATCGCCAGCTGTGAGCTTCTAGGAATCCAGGGAGAGTAGAGCTGGTGGAAGAGCCTCAGCTTTATCATGTCCAGTCCATGCCATAAGGAAAGGGGACCAAGGAGAAGGTCCAGCCTGAAGGATTGTCCTTCTGGCTGGCTACTGTTGCAAACCCTTCCCTGCTCTGATTCTCCTGACCCTTCTGGAAGCCTTTGCACAACCAATTTTCTTGTAAAGCTGGCTCATGGCACAAGACATTCATACCTACAAAGCATTCTTCTCCAAGACTTGCAAGAGTCAGCTGTCCTCTTGGGGCAAGAGGACTGGACAGATCCCAGGCTGGCCATGGGGAAGGCAGAAGAGCCTGGGAAATTGGGGCAATTTCCTCACCAATATCAGAAATGCCAGCCAGCATGTTCAGCTGAGGTGAGAGGAGCATCAGCGTTACACATTTCCAGGGACTATGAGACTCAAACTTTCGACTGATCTCTTTCCTCTTTAGAATACTAGTGACAACTCTGGAGTCTAGATCAACTCAGGAAAATCTTGGCCAACCTTGGCCAACTTTGGTTCCTTCCTCTGAGCATCCTGGAGCCACTGCATGAAGCCAGACCTTCCCATTTTCTTTTTCCAGTTCTTTTTTAAGATTAAAATTTTTTTCCAGCTTTATTGAGATATAATTGACATATAACATTGTGTAAGTTAGGACCTTCCCATTTTCAATCATGCAGATGGTTTCTTTTTCCAAAGAATTCCTTTACCTCAATTTTTAGAGAAAATAAAGACTGCACACTCAAAACAAGAGGAAAAGAAAGAGGCAGAGGGAAATTTGAAGAGATACACAGAGGAGAAGGTGATGTGAAGATGGAATAGAGAGATCTAAAGATGTTGGCCTTCAAGATTGGAGTAATGCCACCAGAAGCCAAGGAATTGTGGGAGCCACCAGCAGCTGGAAGAGGCAAGGAATGGATTCTCCCTAGAGCCTTGGAGGGAGCACAGCCCTTCTGACACCTTGATTTCGGCCAGTAATACTGATTTCGGACTTCTGGCCTCCAGAACTGTGAGAGAATAAATTTCTGTTGTTTTATGCCACAAAGTTTTTGGTAATTTGTTACAGTAGCCACAGGAAACTATGGGTAATTATAGGAATTATGCAGATTATGTCAAAGGTCCTTTGTAGTTTTAAGATGCATTCATTCATTCATTCAACCAACAAACAAATATTTGAGGAAACATAGAGGCGTGATTGAAAGTACAGACTTTGTACTCCATCCAACTTGGGGGTGAATTTCGGCTCTGCTACCTGCTGATTGTGTGACTTTGATCAGGTTGCTTAACTCTCTGAACCTCAGTCTCAACACCTGCACAATGGAGATGATAACAGTGCTTAACTCAAGGGGAGTTCATAAAAATTAAATGGGATGGCGCACATAAAGGGCTTTGTGCTGGGTACAGAAGTCATTGCACTGTCCCTGCCCTAAGAAAGCTCTCTGTCATTCTAGGAGGAGCGACTTAGAGAGATCAGGGCTGTGGATGGGAAGCCCAGGGGGTATTGGGGACCCATTAGGGGCACTAGGGTGGGGGCAGGAAATTCTTTTTTTTTTTTTTTAAAGATTGGCACCTGGGCTAACATCTGTTGCCAATCATTTTTTTGTCCTTTTTCTTCTTCTCTCCAAAATCCCCCAGTACATAGTTGTATATTCTAGTCATAGGTCTCTCTGGTTGTGCTATTGGGACGCCACCTCAGCACGGCCCAATGAGTGGTGCTAGGTCCATGCCCAGGATCCGAAACGGTGAAACCCCAGGCAGCAGAAGCAGAGCACAAACTTAACTACTCGGCCACGCAGCAGTCCCAGGAGATACTTTCCAGAGAAAGTGACCTCTGAGCCCCCTGAGGGACACAGCAAGCCCTAATTACATAGATACTCTTTTTAATACTATTGTTGTAAATATCAGTATTAAAGGGTATAACATGTTTCTGATTATTCGGTCTTCCTGAAAAAGCGCATGTCAAAAAAGCACATTTCTAAAACCTTTTTAAAAAGTTCAAAATTCTTAAGTTACCAGGGAGGTCCTAGGAAAGCCCTCCTATCTAAGGAACCAGGAGACCGATAGGAAGGATTTGAAATGGCAGCCTGCGTCACACATACCATTTATTAAAAAAGAAACAACAAATACACAGCAGCGAGTAGGAAGATCTGAGCATGCGTGCCTACGGAACCCGGAGTGGCCAGTTCTCGCAGAGAGCAACCTCGCTTCAAGCGGGAAAATTAGAGTCTCCACCCAGTTTGAGAAGCGTTCCTGTCCCTGGAAACTGGACTGATAGACCCCACTCCTGCCTCACTTGCCCCGCCCACTTTCCTACCTCCGATTGGCCAGATCAAATTTACTAACCGTTCTGGTTGGTCGATTGTTCTTGGGCAATTGCGCTGCAGGATTTCGCGTCGTCGTGGACCTGCTGTTCGCCGCCGCCTCACTGCTGAGGTAGGTTTTCTCTGCGGCTCTCCCTGGACACGTTAAGGGGTTCAGGTAGAAAAGCTGGCAGGCTCTTCACAGCGCTCAAGCGGTTGGGTCTTTGCTTTGCGTCCCCCCCCCCCCCATCTTCAACATCCTTAGGGCTGAGAGACAACTGAAAGCCTTTCGGAGCGATCCTCATCAGGCAGAGATAAAACTAAAACTATCTTCAGTCTCTGAGACTCCCTAATTGCTGTTCCTGAGGGAAGCAAAACTCCCGTCAGCCTGAGAAACCTCCAAATCAGCCAGACTCCCCTAGGTTTCCTCAACCAGAGATGATAGCCTCTGCCTAAGGAGCTGCTTTCTTGCTTCCTCTGGGATAAAGCAGCAATCTTCTGGGCCTCAGAGACCCCTAAGTTTCCTCTCCCTGAGAGACTCCCAATGCCGTCAGTTTGGGGAGCACCAGATTGCCGCGTTGAAACTCCCCACATTCTCAGCCTGAGTGGTGGCTGGTCCTGTAGTCTCCCAAGATTCCAGCTCTCTTCACTCCAATAATTTTCAAATGACCTAGTAATAGCTTCTAAATCCGCTGATATTAACGATCCTCTTTTCTTTTCAACAGAGCGAAACCCCACATCCTTCTTCCTGAAAACTCAAACCCATCAGTCAGAGACACCATATGATCTCTGGGACTAACCCCCCCCTCCTTTCCCTCAAAACACCACCCCCCCAAATAAAACTATACACTCACGTCACTGATTCCCCAACAAAGGTCTTTGTATCTTTCCTTCAGGATAAGCCAACTCCGGGCAAACTACTAACAACAGTAACCAACCCCTTTCAAAGGCTCAAGGCTGCCTTGATCATGCTCACAGAAAACCTGTCATCCCTAATCAATACTTTTCCCAGAGGCCTCCAGCCCCCTATTCTCATCTGACTTCCCTCCATGTCCTTACTCAAGGACAAATATGCCCAGGATGAAGAAAAGTAGAACCTTGATTCCAGGTGACTGAGTATGGCCTTCCCTCAGTGCTTTCTCTCTCTACAGGACCTTTGCCCTTGTGGTTGGAGAAACACAGGCTGCGTCTCTTTGAGATCAGACCGTTCCCAGTGCCATGAACAGAGACAGTTCCTTTGCAAAGAGCCTTAAGAAGGGTACCCGGAAATTGGAGAAGGAATGCAAGGTGAGGTGATCTAGAGAAGGTCCGAGGAGAGGCCCAAGGGACAGGGTAGGGTGACTAGATTTCTGAGGAGGTGAGGTCAGAGGTACTGGGGCCAAGGAGCAGGGTGTCAGGCGGCCATCTGGAGCCTCGGGAGCTCCCCACCCTCACTCGGTCCTTGCCTGACATCCCTGGAGACGGCAAGGTCTGTGAATGTCAGCCGTGTTTAGCTGAGTTGCTGCCCGGATTTAATTTTCTTTGTTTTCTAGGCCTTCGAGGATATTTCCAAATACATCTGTAAGGAAGAGTGGGCAAAGCTGGGATACTCCGAGAAAATCACCTATGTGTATATGAAGAGAAACTATGACACCATGACTAGTCTAGGTAACAGGAAATTCTGAGTCCAGACAAGCCTGGGAACATATGATCATGCCCCATTCCCTTGCCATGCCATGGCTGCTGCTTAGGCTGCAGCAAGGGTCCCCACTTTCCTTTTAAGGGGGGAGAAATCCCAGGGCAGCTTCTGGGCATTCTGCTCTTTTATATCCTGTGCAGGGCTGAAGGCAGCAGTGGCCACAGAGATGCTCAGATCTAGATCCTGCACGTTTCTCTCCTACCGGCCCTTGTTTGCATCCCCCTGGCTGATGAGCTTTACTGTCCGTGCTGCCTCCCAGCATCCCACCCTCCTCTCAGGCTGTCTCTTAAGGAACAAATATTTTGCTTCTTTCTAGGTCTCAGGGCCAAACTCCCAGCTTTCATGTGTCCTAAAAAAGGGAACACAAAATCCCGTGGGCGTAATTCTGGTAAAGGTCGGAACCCCAGGAATCAAGGTGAGTGACAGGAAGGGCCTGGAAAGAATCTCCTGAAGCCTGACTGCTTTGGGGTCCAGCTGCTTGGGAAAGATTCTCCGGAGTTTGTTCTCCCAAAAGCATCATGGCTGAGTGAAAAAGTTGGATGCGGAAGGTCAAGTACAGTCAGAGGTCATTCATATAAAATCCTAAAACATGTAAAACAAGAATATATAGTTTATGGATAATAAGTAAATAGCAGATGTATAAAAACCTTAATGAGAATAAAACCCATCAAATTCAGGAGTGGGGAAGTGGAGAAGGAGGGAGGGCAGGGGTCGGTGAGGGCTGCACAGATGCCTTCAGCTGTGACTTGTTTATAGTGTTTTCTTATATTTTGAGTAAAGATCTCAAGGTGATCTAAAGCAGTTGTGGCATAATGTTGAGATCATGCTAGACTCAGCAGTGCATGCACACGTGTTTCCAATATTATTCTCCATAATTTTCTGTATGTTTGAAACATTTCTTTTTAAGGGAGTTATTGTTCTTGCTAAACACCCTTAATGAATCACCGCACAATTGTGAAAAATGTAATGAAAGTCCAAATCCACCAAAAACTTCCAGAGTCAATTTCATAACAGCGCATAGGTGTTGGATAAATGCCTTAAGAGAGAAAGTGATTAGCACAGTATGTAAGGGCATACAGCTCTTTCCCTGTGTTTTATGAAAACTGAATAGTCTTCTCCCTCCTAATCAAACCTGATTCTGTGCTGAGCTTGGGAGAGAGTTTGAGAGAGCAGCTCTCACACACACGCTGAGCTTTCCCACTTGTCAGTGAGCAGAGGCAACATAGGGTGAAAAAAAGCAACGGGTTCCAGAACTCTTTGTGCATCTGAGCAGTGTGTGTACTCACTTTAAAGGGGACAGGATGCGTTCACCTGCTTTTCCGCTCTGACAGTACAGTTGTAAGAAGACAGGGTCAGAATGTTCAAACTGACTCCAATAGACCTCTGACTCCCCGGCTAAGGGAGCCGGATTCCACAGGCTCCCAAACTGCTAGAGCACTGAAAATCCAGGGCTGGGGTGTCTACAATGTTTTTGACATTAAAGGAATGCCTTTATAGTGGAAACATTCCAGAACTGCTGGACTAAATCATCCATGGTTCATCACACACCGAACAGCTTCACTGAGGTATAATTGACCTACTGTAAAATTCACCCATTGTAAGTATACCATGGTTTTTAGTTGCCACACATCTTTAAGGGAATACAGTTCAAATTCCCAACCAATCAATTTAATTCTTGGGGGGAAAAAAGTAAGAAATATGGAATGGAATAGGATGAGGTGGGGATGGGGCTTCATTCACATTTTGTAAAGCGTCAGAAGGAAAATTATGAATTGATGCTGCAAGTAAACTCATAAACCATTACTAAAGATAATGCAGAAGCCCGGCTCACAATAACTCCTTGACAATGAGTGGGCTCGACCTTCTGCTGCAGAATTCCCTGGTACTGCAGGAGTCTTTCTGGAGTTTGGGAATATTTACAAAGAAAAGAAAAGAAAAACCTTCTGATTTATCACCTTCTTTTAGATGAACCTCCTCAGAAGGCTTCCAGTGTGCAACAGAGAAAACGCCAGAAGGTGAGTATCTTCCAAATCTACAAGACCAGGGACCCTTTCTCCCTCCACGGATGTGAATATTGGGAAGAGTGGGAGAATATCAAAAGTGGCCTGGCCCTCACTGCCTCCCTGTCCTGATCTCTTTATCACAATGCCCGATGGAGCATCAGTAGCTTTATAATAATTCATAACACTTGTGGTAGCTGATACTTCTTTTATTTTCATAGTGATGCCAGATATTTTAAGCAATTCACATGGATTAATGCGTTTAAGCCTTAAGCAAACCTCTGTAGCGTTGTTACTATCATTATCCAGAAATAATAATGAGGATATTATTATATGATATAAATAATAGTGAAGAGGAGGATATTGTGGCACAGCGATGTTAAATGAGCTGCCTGATTCGCAATGGCAGTGGCAGTAGTCTAACCCAAAACCCCACACCATTCCCAAGCTTATAAACTTTTTCATATGTTTATGAAGTTCCGGCGTTCCCCCCAGGGCTTTATCTCACAGCTGCTGCTGCTGCTTCCATTTAGACACCCAATCTCGCAACAGGAAGTGTCAGTTCCTCTCTGCTCTGTCTTGGGGCCACTGTCATCTGGTTTAGGAGTCACTTAGACTGTGGGCCCCTCCCTACTGTGAGCTCCTTCGGGGCCTCATCTGCACCTGAGACATCTCTGAAGCCTCGGTCCCAGCCCAGGGGGACGCTCAGAGGTGCCTGCGTGTTTATTGAAGAAGCGATTCCACAACTACAGATTAAACTCTGGTTTAGAGGGTAAAGGGGTCTGGGAATTGGATTGTCAGAGTGGAGACTAGAGGAGAGAATTCAAAGAAGGAGCATGAGAGGAAGTGTTCGTTTTTATTATTGCCACATTTAAACAGTGTTCACAAGCTCAGAAAGTACTTTCCCTTTGCTTGGTTTACATTTATCGTTCACTGTTTCATAAATGAGGGAGCTGAATGAAAGGTAGCTTAAGGTTGTTGGTCAATGATACCCTCTGGCGCAAGCAGAATTGGTACGGGAACCACCTCGCCTGTTTCCACATTAAACATTCTTGCCAGGGTAGGACAGTCTGTCATGTCTGGCAGTGCTTGCTTTGCCGTGTACAGTCATTTCTGGGAGCCATTCCTTTCCTCTCCCCTCCCTCATTCATCTCCTCCACACCATTTTCCAGCGGTGTTTTGTCCTCTCTGTGCGTTTTCACATCTACTCTCCCAGCAGCTGTCTACTAGCTTATATGTGATCCCTTATATTTGATAGAAGCCCCTCCTTTCTTTCACAAACCTTGTGGATTCTTAGAATGCCATTCTTCCCCAAATCTTCTGTATCCCACACTCCCACTTACATGGAGGCTTTTGCTGTTTACAAGAGTGTCAGTCTGGAAAGAGCGTGAAGACAAGCGTTCTAGTCCTGGAAACACCCCTCATTTAGGCCATTCCTTTTCCTTCTAACCTCCCCGGTTCCTCACAATTTAAGTATAAGTAATGTAACGAGCTCCCAGAGTTGTTGAGGATGTTAAGATACTGCATGTGAAGATAGCTTGTAAGCTTTAAAGCACTAGAGAAATATTATATTGTTTATATATGACCTTCACATTAAAAAGGTGATGCGCAAGAAGCCAGCAAAGGAAAAGAATGATTCAAAGCCAGTACCAGTAACACCCGGCTCAAAGCAAGCTCACAAACAGCTGTTCCCCCTGGGAGAAGCAAGTACCTCTGGTCAACAGAGTGAGAAGACACCAGGTAAGAGAAAACTATGTGGGAACGACTCCTCTGGCTTCCCTGGCGACATTCGAGTGTGTGGTCTAGGCGTGGGCGATGGATCCTGGGTAGGCCTCGGTCCAGGCTGGACTGAGGAGCTCGCCCAGCTCCAGCTGAGATGTTAGAACATGACTTCCAGTGTCACAGACTTGAATTGTCATCGATATAAAAGCCGTTTAACTGTGGACAAGTCTTCGAAATTCTCTGAAGTCTAGATTCTAGTCCACAAAATGGAAATAAAGAATCAGATTCACAAATTGTTCAAAGGCCTTGAATTAAATCTAGAAGGCCCGACAATATAAAAGGTGCTGGAGTAATTCCATCTGTGATAAGCTGGGAACGTATCTTCCTCAGAGTTGCAGTCCTAGCCCTCAGCTCAATGCCTGATGCACAGCATGCCCTTGAATATACGCTGCATGAGAGAAGGTCTGAATGAATGTTCCGGTAATGAAAGAGGTCGAGGATCTAAACCTGACCATGGGAGGAGCCAGAAGCTAAGACACTAACTGACATTTTGTGTGTGTTGGTGCGGGTCTAAGTCTCTGAGTCAGAAGATGTGGCACAGACTATGTAGAAGGCCCACGGGCACTTGGGAGGGAGGAGGCATCTCCTTATCTGACAAAACAGAGCCTAACACTCCCCAGCCCACCCAAGCTCCAGTTACCAGCTCTTCTCCACCACAGGACCCGGGGAGGGCAAGACTAATGTCTGGGCCCACAGATTGCGAGAAAGAACCCAGTAGCATATGAAGAGATCAGTCATCCTGAGGAAGATGACTAACTCTGTAAGTGACCCTTCAATCCATCCTTACACTCCTGCAAGATGCACTGTTCCATTATGGTACTGGTATCCCAGCTTGTCACTTGTTCCCCAAGTCATTCTTTTCTCCTAGTCCCTTGGGGTGCAGCAGTGAGGCTAAGCGTTGAGGTTTCCCATGCTCTTCCTACTCCATGCTCTGTATATTCAGGGATCTTCCCCTCCCAGGATGCTGTGGGCTCCAAACCCCAGGCCAGCTCTTGGTGTGTAGGCCACACTTTCATCTAGCCCAAGAACTCATAGGACAGGTGAGGGAGTCGCTGTGGCCTGCGCAGAAGGTTCGCTTTGAGGAACAGTGGGAGATGCGTGCAGACCATGAGGAAGGGTGGAGTCGCAGTGCTCAAGTTCCTGCAGGGCGGGATGAGGAGGGGGGGATTGATTTCTCAGGCAGTGGGAGCTCACTGCCACTTATTTTCTCTGCTTTCTCCTTGCCTCAGCCTCAGGGATGTGACAAGTGCCCATGATAAGAAGCAGAACCTGGCGGCCTTTCATGAACATGGGTGTGGCTGTGAACTCCTGGCCATTAAGTGTATAGCAAGTGAAAAAAAGTGTTCACAGCAGTGAAAAGTTCAGCACGATTTTCCTTACTATGTGCCAAACATTCTGTTAGATGTTAGAGTTTTGTTAATGAGTAAGCCATATACCTAATGCGTATTTCTGTCTGTGTGTCCATGCACCTACCTTAGAAAACAAGTATCGTTAGATGTTCTCTGCATAGAACAGCACTACCCTCCCCTTCCCTGGGGAGAGGACTACTGAGGGCAGTTCTGGGCATTTGATTCCAGACGTTTTTCTCTGCATTTACACACACACACACACACGCACACACACACGGGGTACCACTATGTGCATCTCCCACCTGCTTTCTCCCACTACCAGCGTGTCCTGGACAAGTCCCCCTCATTCTGTTTCCTCTTCAACGGATGCTTCATGCTGCAAACTTCCATTATTCTTTACCCTGCATTAGTCACTGACAATTAATAAACATTGACAAGGTTTTCCCAGTTGTTTGCTCCTCTCGTTCTTGCACACACAGCCCTGTGCACCTGTGTGAGCGTTTCTTTAGCACACATTCTTAGAAGTAGAATTGCTGGGTCAAAGGGTTCATGCATTCAGCAAGCGCCTAATGAGTGCATACTGTTACCAAGCAGTATTCTAGGTGCTGAAGAGACATCAGGGAACAAGACAGACAAAAGTTCCTGCCCATGTGGAGCTGACATTCTAGTGGGGGATGTTTCCAGTTGTTTTTTTGATGGACACTCTACAGCCCAGTCCTGGGGCAGGATTCTGCAGCTGATGGTTGAATGCCTTGGCTATACCAACCTGTAACATCCTTAGAGTCAAGGGCTGGGATGGTCCATTTAGGAGTGTGTGGGAGGAGACAGAGATGACACCATCAACCGGGGAACGCGGAGGAATAGGCAAGGAGCGCTCCCTGTGGGACATGTGGACAGAAATGGAAGAATCCACTTAGTCGTGATTCAGGAGAGCAACAGATGGGAAAGTCCACTGGACGAAGGCATGAAACTGCCCATCAAGGGTCTCACGACCAAGGGCTTGGGGGCTGGGGTAGGGATGAAGAGTCGAAAATGGGATAGTTCTCTTCCCCACTAACATTGCAGGCTACAGAGATGGGACAGTCAGCTCTGGGGAAGGGAAGAGGGGAGTCTGTTTTAGAACGAACCATTGTATGTGGTGAAGGACGTTAAGGCCACCAGCAGAGGTCACCAAGGTGATTTGCATGCGACATCAAACACCAGCCCTAGATGGAGGCAGGATTGCACTGTTTTGACCATCCACTGCCCGTCACCTTGGCCTTCTGGCTCCCATCCAGCCTTGGAAGGTCTCCACTCTCCTACTGAGGCTTCCATCTCCCCTACCTCTACCTTCATCCCGCCTCTGGACCTGTCCCCTCCTCCCAGTAGCTTTGGATCAAAGGCAGAGCGCAACAGTAAATGAGCATATGATTGGTTCCTGGAGAAGAAGGGTGGGAATCAAGTCTCTCCTTGTTCTCTGACTGGTCATCATGACTCCAGGCTGGAGCCACAGTTGCTGGGCTGGAATTGGGTTTTCCCCCTCCCATGCACACAGTGTAATAGCTGCAAGGTGGCAGGATCACTGTCCACACAGCAACCCTGGCATTGAGCCTGGGTCTGGGTCTCCTGAAGCCCTCAGAGATGGGTGACTGCACCCAGGAGGAGCTTGTTCTAGGAAACTGAGAAAAGCCTCAGAGAATCGACACTCTGTGGAGCTCTAGACCTGGGAGTTGGTGTAGGCCGTGACAGATGCGTGGGGAATGGGGCATGGCTGAGGGTCTGGACAGATGTGGACACACACTTAAACCCTCTCTGGCAAGCATGTTCCCCGAAGCACATCCTTCCTCACAGGGGTGACCCTTTCTGCAGAGCCAGCTTCTCCTGGGGGCTGCAAAGTGAGGGCATCCAAGTTTACCTGAGTCTTCACCTGCTCCTCTGAGAATAATAATGTCTTGTCACTTGAGGTCACACCTCTGTGTGGGACAGGTCCCAAGTCCAGGAGTCTGCATCCCAGGCAAGGAACGTCTGCAGGAATGGGGAGGTCTGGTTCACTTGGATCTCCCCCCCTCTCAGCCCACCTTCCACAATAACCATAGAAAGGGCAGCTAATATCCATCTTGTGTTTGCAAAGTGCCTGGACTGATGTTAAGCATCTCATATGGATTCTCTCATTTATCCTCACAACCAACCTCTGAAGGCAGACACTATCATCATGATGATATTATAGATGTTATATAGAGATTTATAGAGAGAGAGAGACAGCTTATGGATGAGAGATGGAGACAGACAGATGTCAGGCTTCTTGCCAGAGTTCCTACAGCTGGCATGTGCAGGAAGGGCTGGGTTTAGAACTCACTGTGACTTCAGAGACATTAAAGAGGACAAGTGTGTATTGGTGGGGGATGACTTGAATGAGCTCTGGGTTCTGTCCCAAATCTCAGGGTAGAGGGCATGGGATCACTTTTCCAAACAGAGAGCGCCCAGGGAGAGAGCGTGCAGGGAGGCAGCGGCAGGGTCTTCGTGGTAGAGGGGGCAGGGGAAGACGAAGATACACAGAGTGGGTAGAAGAGGGGCTGGCCAAGAGGAAATTACAAGGGTTTTAGGAGCTCTGTGCCAGAAACTGGGGGTAGAGACCTATATATATATATATATATATATATATATATATATATATTTTTTTTTTCTATTATTTCCCGCCGCGGTCCATCCTCCTGGTGGGGGTGGATATAGGCTCAGAGCAGACTGGGTTATGGTGAAATGACAGACAACCACAGCTTATTTCTCACTCATGCTACTTGTCCACCTCAGGTAGACTGGGGTTCTTCTCCACATTATCAACACCGTCACGGAACCCAGGGACACAGAACAGCCACATGGGTGGCCTGACAGAGAGAAAGGAGAGTGTGGCTAAGCATGAACTGGCTCATCCAATGGCTGAGTCTGACCTTGGCGAGGGTGAGAGACTGCAGTTCTCAATGAACGCAGAGAGTGAACCTTCTAAAATCTGCCATAAGGAGGGTGTGGCATCATAAGAGAAGGCAGTGTAGGGGACTGCCTAACCCAGTGGTTCTCAATGGAGACAGTGAGGAGGGGGCGGGTTTTGTCCCCCCAAGGGACATTCCACAATGCCTGGAGACATTTTTGGTTGTCACAACTTGGAGTGGGGGAGGTTACTGGCGTCTCATGGGTAGAGGCCAAGGTGCATGTTACAATGCACGGGACAGTGCCCCCCCAAACAAAGAATTATCCGACCCCAAATGTAAATGTTGCCAAAGTTGAAAACCCTGACTAAAAGAATGGTGTTTAAATGGAGAGATTTTAGGCATCAGACAGAGGAGATCTCTCAGTGAGGGTAAGCATATAGAAGGATGGTATTGTTTCTAAGTCAGTCAATTTATTACAAGGCACTTATTAAGCCCTGACTGTGTGCAGAACTCTGTGGGAGAGGCTGGCAAGGTGAAAGACTGGGTTCCTGTAGTAGTCTTAAGGGAGACAGTTGATGGTGCATGGGTGCTCTTGTCCCCACTGCTCTGAGGGCCACCTCAGCTCCGTGTCAAGGGTACCTGTGTATGGGTCTCTCCACTTTCTCTTCTGTCCCACCGTCAAGCTGCCAAGCCCTGTGCCAGCACCACCCTATGTCAGGGACCATAGCTCCGCAATACGACTGGCTGTCTGGAGGGCAAGTCCTCTCACTTTGTCCTTCTTTAGGCCCTCTGCACATCCAGGTACAGTACATTTTAGAATCTGCTGGTCAAGTTCCATGATTTAAAAAATCCCTGTTGGGATTCTGACGGGACTTCCTTTGAATTCATAGATCAATTCGGGGGGATAATGACATCTTTACACTGTGGAGTCTTCCTATCCAAGAACTTGGGCTATGTCTCCATTTTCAAGGCCTTTTTTATGTCTTTATAAAGTTTTATAATTTATTGCATCCATAGTTTGCACGTTTTTTGTTAGATTTATTTCTAAGTCTCTGCTGTTACTTTCTCACGAGAACATATGGGGGGGCGGGGGGGCCTGAGGTTCAGAGAGTGCCCAGCCCCTGCTTTCCCGCTCACACCTGAAGGAACTGCAAGAGGAGACGATCTACACTCCGTCAGAGGCAGAGGGCTTGAGGTGCGCTGCTGGAGGCGGACACCATTTGCGCTGCAAGTCAGCCAAGCAACCACGCTGTAGAAGAAATTGTTATACGGGAACCACGGTCATTATAACATTTCTACTTCTGAGGGAACACTAGAATTTGGAAATCAGGAAGGTACTGGGTAGGGGACAGAGGCTGAAAGGAGACTGGGAGACAGTGAGAACACTGCACTGGCTCCGTAATATTGCCTGGCAGGCTTAGGTCCTCTGAGACCTGCTGTTTCCCCAGACTCTGCTCTGCAGGACTTATACCAATTCTGGCCCAGGACTCAATCTGTTTCACTCCTCCAAAAGAAAATTCATTTCACAAGGCAATTGTTATTAAAGGATGATTTATTGAAGATTTCATAGAGGAGACTGATGGAGGTGAAGGAAGTATATCTTTTATAGAGCGGAGCAACTTATTCCCAAAATCACCTGAACTGCCTTTTTTTCTTCAAAAATATCACCCTTAAGCTGTTCTCCTACTGGTTCTTCTATTCCTTCTGTCTATCCCCAATCCTCAAATTTTCCCTTATTGGGACAATATTACTCTGCTCAGACTTGGGTCCTCCACAATCAACGCTTAATACTGTCTTCAAGTGTTTGAATGTCAGTTGTTTTGGCCCAGGTTCCCAAGGAAACGGACTTTGGGCCATACAGGACATCTCCAGAGAGACTATATAGAGAAACCATTCTTTTTTTTTTTAATTTATTTTTTTATTTTTTGGTGAGGAAGATTGTCACTGAGCTAGCATCTGTGCCAGTCTTCCTCTATTTTATGTGGGATGCCACCACAGCATGGCTTGATGAGTGGTGCTAGGTCGGCGCGGCATCCAGGCCTGTGAACCCCAGGCAGCGAAGCAGAGTGCATGAACTTAACCACTGTGCCACTGGGCTGGCCCCTAGAGAAACCGTTCTTGGAACAGTGCCTAAGTGGGAGGAAGGAGGGGGAATTTGTCTACCTGGCTCACTCTGTTCCTTTTCTTATTGATCAAAATGTACCCTACAGGCATGAACTGCCCCCACACTTCTAGATTGCATCCTCTGGCCCCTTGGGCAGCTGTTTGGAAAGCCAAATCCCACACTTTGAGGTGTAGTGTTTCATACAACCCAAAATTGGTGGGCATAGCCAGAAAATCCAGGTGTGCAGCTCATCCAGGTGTGCAGGATCCAAGGGTGACAGCTAAATCCATACTCCTAGGCTAAGTCCTAAATTCACCAGGCAGTTGGAGTAGCCATCTGTGATAGCTAACTGCCTTTATCCGGAGGAAAAATTAAACTCTTATCTCTATGATAAGGGGTACTTACAGCTTGGAGGCAGGCGCCTAGGCTAAACTC